CACCTCTGCAGCATCTCTTGCTGATTTCACCTCTGCAGCATCTCTTGTTGATTTCACCTCTTCAGCATCTCTTGTTGATTTCACCTCTGCAGCATCTCTTGGACATGCCCCCTCCTCTCCTCTGACTCTGCCCCCACTCTGGTACAGATCCTCATCCCCTCAACCTGGACTATTCCAGTAGCTGCTGGGGGTTGGATTGGCCTTCCTCTAGCCTTTATCCACTGCCTGCCACCAAAGTGATTTTCCTAAAGTGCATGTTTGACCATGTCACCTCCTACTTAATAAACTCCAGTGGCTCCCTGTCACCTCCAGGAGCAAATATAAAATTCTTTGGCATTCAAAGCCTAGACCCTTCCTACCTCTTCAGTCTTCTCACACATCACTCCCCATTCCCTTACTCTTCCATGCAGTGATCCTGGCCTCCTGGCTGTTCCATGAACAACACCTTCCATCTCCTGACTCCATGCCTTTACACTAGGCTGTCTCCCATGCCTGGAATGCCCTCCCTCCTCAACTCTACCCCATGGTTTTCCAGGCTTCCTTTGAGTCTCAGCTTTTATAAGAGACCTTTGCCAATTCTCCCCTCCCCTGCTCCCACTAGTGCCTTCTTTCTGAGCTTCACCTTCAACACTCTCTGTCTTGCACATACAAAGTTGTCTGCAGGTTGTCTCATGAGCTTCTTGAGAGAAGAGACTGTTTTTGGCCTTTCTTGATATCCCCTGCCCCTAGCATAGTGCCTGGCACACAGTAGGTACTTAATAAGTGCTGGTTGTTGATGATGATAATGATGCCAGCTTTGGGTTGGCTTTGGTAGCCACCTGTAGAAATTAGGTGATTACTAGATAAGGTTTAGCTTGCAGCCTCACCAGGGACTGATCCTAATGATATAGATGAAAGGAAAGGACTTGGCAGGGATAGGGTGGGTGGCCCTCTAGTTGAGCATCTATCTGCTACTACATAGGACCCCCTTCTCCACAGCCTCAGCTGTGGCTGCCCACATAGTTCAACCATCACAGAAGCATCTGAGACTCATCCACTGAACAGTTAGGGGCCCCTTCATGGTGCCAGAGCCTTTGGGCAAATGAGGCAAAGGATTGGAACTGTGGATCTTAAGGAGATCATAGATGGAGCTGGTAGGACTCCAAATTTCATCAAGTCCTGACCCCTCTATTTTACAGATGAGGAAACTGAGGTCCTCAGGGTAAGTGGCTCAGGTAGTGAGTGCTGCATCTAGGTTTTGAACCCTGGTTCTCTGTCTTCAGAACCAGAGTTCTCTTCACAGCTGTTTTCCCCATGGAAGAGGATGAGCCCCAGAACCTTGTCATGGAGGGTCACATATCAAATAGTCAGGCAATGTTCCCAAAAGAACATGTCCAGTGTGAGGAAAGGGCAATGTGGACCCTAAAGGGCTTTGTGGGAGCTGCTTTTAGTAATAATTACTCATGATAATTGCCATCAGGAAGGTTGGGTAAGAAAACAGTTGGGAAGCTGTGTGGCTGGAGCAGCCTCCAGGCCACTTGGCCAGTCAGAGGCCATGGGTGATGGATTCCTGATGAAGACCTCCAAGGTGGCACAGGACAGAGTTGGGATGGGGGGAGACTTAACTCTCCAGATCTCTACTCTGTCTCTTTCTCTGTTTCATGATCCTTCAAGCAGAACAGCTGACACATCCCTGCTTTGTTTTTCTGTCATGTCATCTTTCAGAAGGGGGAAGAAGCAGAGAGAGGAGCTGCTAGTGGAGAAGGAAAGGGCCACTCCTTCCTGGTGGTGGTAGGAGAGGAAGGAAAGGCCAGACAGCCTGATACTCGCCCTACACCTGGAAGAGCAGGTTCCAGGAAGTTCAGAGAGAGGTAGGAATGCCTGGGCTTGGGCTACAGCATTGGCTGCAGAGGGACAATACTATCACAACAGAATCCAAGGAAGAAGAAACAAGGGAAGCGGTCTACAAAGTCCAGTGGAGACACGCAGGGAACTTGTCAGAAACCTCCTAATCTACATGGTCATATTCATGAGATGGAAGCAAGGGCAGGTAGGAATAATATGAAAGCAGGGCGCAGTCTTAGAAGAACCCTGCCAGGACTAGCAACGCTCAGAATGGGCCACCATGGGAGGAGGCTATAGACAGCATGGGGGTCGAGGGGAAAGTTGGAAACAGGAAGATCACTGCTCAGGGCACACAGGAGGCTGAGAAAGCACAATGACTCAGTTGTGATTTTGCTTCCTTTTTCTCTAGCAGGGTACATACTCTTTAGACGAGGAAGGGTCAACAGAGAATCAAAATGTTGTTTGTCCTTCACGATCAAAGAGAACCAAAATGACATTACAATGTTGGGGTCAATGTACAGTGTGTCTGACTATGGCTGACCAGACTCCAATACAAGCTCAAAAGGCTCTACCACAGGTGGGGCACAAATAGTCCATATGGACATTTGGGGTGGATTCTCTACATTTGTGCATCTCATGTTTCTTTTGAGCTACTGCAATTCTGCTTTGCTCACAGAGCACAGCACCTTGGAGGAGGGTGTGCCATGCTGGAAGGTGCTGTGCCAGCATCTCCCATGTCACGTAATTGACTCCAAAGTCCTTCAGAATGACCCTGAGATTGTACTTGCATCACTTCTTCTGACCACCATGTGAGCACTTGCCTTGTGTGAGTTTTCCATAAAATAGTCTTTTAGGCAAGTGTACATTTGGCATTTGAACAACGTGGCCAGCCCATTGGAGATGCGCTTTCTGCAGCAGAGTTTGAATGTTTGGCAGTTTGGCTTGAGAAAGGATGAAAATGGCATTAAGGTAGGGATGGTGTGGTGCTGACTGGTGGAGAATCCCCGTTTTCTTGGTGTTGTTAGGCCAAAATTAGCATGAGCAGTAGAGAATTGATCTGTGCTCTATTGCATCTCAGTCTTAGAGGCTTCATTGAGTGCACAATTATCTGAAAACAAAAAGTCATATACCAACTTTCTCTACACTTTGGTCTTGGCTTGTAGCTTTTTCAAGTTAAATGATTTCCCATCAGTGTGGTAGCTGACCTTGATGTCCTTTCTGTTCCTGCTGAAGGCATCTGACAACATTGCTGAAAACATCATACTAAAAAACATGGGAGCAAGCACACAGCCCTGCTTTACTCCACTGGTGACTGGGAAAGTGCAAGAGCATTGTCTAGTATCCAGAACCCGGGCAAGCCTGCTGGTGTACAATGCTGATGAACTTCTCTGAGCAACCAAATTTTGCCATGGTCTTCCATGGGTCCTCATAACTGACAGTATCAAAGGCCAAAGGTCAGATCAATGAATGTTGCGCACAGACCTCTTTCCTGCTCCTGGCATTTCTCCTGGAGTTATCAGGCAGCAAACACCACATCGACCATTCCTCCGCCCTTTCTGAAGCCACACTGACTCTCAGGTGTGTAACCATCTTCCAGGGGAAGGATCACCCACGAGAATCTTGCCAGCAATGACTAAAAGACTCTCATGATTGTCATAGGACAATCTATTTCCTTTACCTTTATAGAGATGGACAATGGAGGCGTCCTTGAACTCCTGGGGGATAGCCTCTTCTTGCCATGTGACCTGGAAGATTTCAGTCAGCTTTTGTGTGAGCAGGGGACCCCCTGCCTTGTAAATCTCACCAGGTGCTTTGCCACATGAAAGGAGCCTCATGGCACTCAAAACTTCTCCTTCAGTTGGAAGTTCAGCTAGGGAGGGATTGACTTCAAACTGAGGTAAACAGTCAATGGCTTCAGCACTGATTGATGATGGTCTGTTGAGAACATTATGGAAGTGTTCAGTCCAGCTCTTCAGGATCATGTCCTTATCACTAATCAATGTGGCTCCAGCAGTACTGAGTAGTTGAGATGCGCCATAGGTCTTTGACCCAGAAATAGCCTTCAAGGCAACATAAAAGTGCTTTGGGTTGTTACCATCAGCATGAAACTGAATTCCATCTGCCTTCTTACTGAACCAAGAATCCTGCATCTCTGTAAGCTTCATTTGTACTTTACTTTTGATGAAGTTAAATGCTGCCTTCTTAGAGATGGATGAACTATCTTGCTGGTAAAGCCTGTGGAGTTCTCGTTTTTCATTTAGCAGTTTCTGAATTTCCCCATCATTTTCATCAGACCAGTCTTGGTGTTTGCAAGTGTTCTGACCCAGATGAGCCAATGCAGTGCTGTACACCAAGTCTCTGAAAGCTGCCCACTCCTTTTCTGCTCCACTGTTGCCAACTGTGTGTTGGCTCAGCGTTCTCTCCAAGTCAGCAATGAACTGCTCGTGCCAGAGAAGTGAAATACCATGAAGAGAGACTCAAGAAGTGTGTCATCAGCCTAGGCAAATTCCATCCTAGGTTATTAAAAGGATTGGAGGATGTGACTGATGAGCCACTGTCAGAGATGTTGGAAAGGTGATGGAGAGTGGAGGAGCAACCACAGGCCTGGAGAAGGGCAAATGCTGCCTTGATTTTTTAAAAAAGAAGGTAGGTAAAGGGAGTGGATATTTCTAAGCAAAGAGTGGGTATCCTGACATCATCACGATCATGATGCTAGTTAGCATTTATATAGTGCCTACTATGTGCCAGGCACTCACTATATTAAGCACTTTATAAATATTTCATCTGATCCTCACAATAACCCTGGGATGTAGAGGCTATTATCATCCCCTTTTTACAGGTAAGGAAAACTGAAGTTCAGTGACTTGACCAAGGTCACACAGCTGGTAAATGTCTAAGGCCGGATTGGGCCCCAAGCCTTCCTGCTTCCAGGTCCAATGCTCCATCTGTCTTTGATCATTCTCCCTCCATTCTCTGAGCTCATTTTCTGGCTCACAAACTTCCTCTCCCCCCCAATCCCTGAGTTTGGGGACAACCTCACTTCCCAGGATTCCATGGACCTCAAGCCCCATAGAGTCACCAAAAAAGCAAATCTGGCATCGAGGAATAGAGAAGCCCCCTGCCCTGGTCAGACCACCCCAGGAGGACCCTGCTCAGTTCTGGGTCCGAGAGTAAGAAGGGTACATAGAAGCAGGAGAGCACCCAGGGAAGGACAGCCAGCATGGGAAAGGTCTTGGAGTCCATGGCATAAGAGTCGAGGATGTTTGGACTGGAGAAAAGAAGACTCAGGGGAGACACAGAGCTAGTCTCCAAGAACTGGAAAGGCTGTTGGCTTTGGCCCCAGGAAGCAGAGGGAGGAACAGCAGGGAAGAAAGTGCACCTGAACTGTTTCCCTGAGGGTTGGAGAGGAGGTGGGATGAGCCCCAGCTGGGGAGGGGGGTGTAGGGGCAATCCCCTTTCTTCCGCAGGCTGTACTTAGAGGGCTCTGGCTATTCTGGGATTCTATGATTCAGTGACCGAGATACGGGTCATGGTCAAAGTGTGCTGCCCAGGGGAGAGTGAGAGCAGCACCATGAGGGTCGTCTAGTCTGGCCCCTCTGCCCACAGTGAATTGCCTTCTGGGGTATCCTTTTAGCAGCCTCTGCCGCCCGAGCTGGCTCAGATGGAGCACCCAAGGCGAGGTGAGGATACTGCTGCTCAGCCCTCAGGCTCCAGCTGGCTGTCCTGGTGCTCTGGCTCCCACTCCGCCCCCCTTCTCACACCCTCCCCGCCCAGGCTGCTAGCTGTCAGTGCGTGGGCGGCACCTGGCCGCTACCTGCCGCCTCCTCCCTCTCACTCCCTCTGGCGGCCTAACCTGCGCTCTGGATGCTGGGTCCTTCTTGATCCACTTAATCACAGTCTCATACACAAGCTCTTCCGCCTTGGTGTTGAGGCTGTCGTTGGACACGTAGGCGATGAAGTCATCCTTGGAGATATTCAAAATCTCCTCCTGGGTTGCCACCTCAGGGAAGATCTGCAGCGCGAAGGCCTTCGCCATGTGGTACAGCTCGCTGCACTGCATGGCCTCAGCCATGGCCAGCACTCCCAGGCAGTTCCCAGGGGTCAGCTGCTTCTCTGCAGGGTGGAGCAGGGCCTGGTCACTCCACTGACTTGGTAGTGCCCTTGCCCTCCCTGCCTCCACACTGACCAGAGACCTTCTCCAGCTCAGGCTCCACCCTCTTGGTGGAGAAGGGACCGAATCAGAGTGGCTCTGGAAAACTAGGTGCCTCAGTGCTCAGCCCTGCTGGCTCTGGGGTTGGCTTTGAAGGAACCAGGAGACATGGTCAAGGTACCAGTTTGTGGCTGAGTCGGGAGTGGGGGGTGGTCTGTGTTTGGGCCAAGGGTCAGAGACTCAGTCTATGGCTGGTGTGGGGGTCAGGAAGGGTCAATCTATGGCTGGGTTGGGGGTTAGGAGAGGCCAGTGTAGCTGGTTTAGGGATTAGGGGTCAGTCTGGGGCTGGGCTAGGAGTGAGGAGGTCAGCTCAAGTCAATTCAATAAACATTAATTAATTAAGTACCAGGCACTGCGGTCAGTCCGTGGTTGGGTTGGTGGTCAGAGAGGTCAGTCTGTGGCTGGGTTAGGGGGTCAGAGGGGTCAGCCTGTGGCTGGGTTAGGGTAAGGATTTGGTCCATGGTGGGGACATGACTGGGTCACTACCTCAAGCCTTTTCTCTTTGGGGTTCAGGTAAGCACCTAGGGTGCCTCAAAGCCCTGCCTCCCCGGTGGCCTTGTGCACAGCTCACCAAGGAAGGACACGCAGACTTTGCAGAAAGTGTGGAACTGGAACTTGCTGGCGGCCTCCAGCAGCGTCTTGGCATTGGCTGCGTCGATGGTCAGCGAGCCCGTGTAGACGAACTCCAGGAGCAGCTCCAGGACATCTGCGCGGAGGTCGGGCAGGCTGAGCTCCAACTTGTCGCGGCTGTCGCGCTCCCGGGGAGACCTAGGCACAGCAGACCAGAGCTTTCTCAGCCCCCGGCCCCGCCGGGCCCCCCGCACCCCAGCAGGGTGAGGCCTTGCTGCCTTCCCTTCCAGCCTCAGGCACGTGCTTCTCTTTGGGGGATCAGAAAGCATGGCACACCTGACCCCAGGGACCCAGCTCCGCATCTGCAAGAGAAGAGCGTGACCCGGAGGGAGCCCGAGGGGCAACAGAAAGCCCTGCGGGGTGCTAGTCTGCCTTTCATGCAAAAAAGGGTGCGAACCAAAAAGGATGAGTCACACGGATGGAGATGAGGGACAGGCTGGCTCCCCAGGGAAACAATACACTTTGGGGGCCGCCGCCAGTGCAGGGCAGCAGCCCCTCACTGCGCCTGCCTTCCGCGGAGGCAGATGGGAGAGGTCCCAGGGGTCCCCTCCTCCCCGGCCCGGCCCCCAAACATATTGTTCCCTGTCGGGCACAGCAAAGGAAGCCCTTCATGATATTGCTTGGAAACGGAAGACGAGACAAGATAGACGGACAGAATGGTTAGAGCCAGGAGGGGCAGGGGGAGCGACCCTCTCCCTCTGCCACAGGCAGCCAGCAGCCATCCATCCCGCGGGGCCTCGTCTGGGGGCTCGGGGCAGCGCCTGGGCCAGTGTGTGAGCTCGTGCTGGTGAACCTGGGGGGGATGCTGGGAGAGGGGGCACGTGGGGATGAGGGAAAGGGAAGTCTGTCAGGGTTCGAGGGACAGACAGCGGGACAGAGGGCATGCCGCCTGTGGGGCCCTAGCAGGCACCAGCACCAACCCTAGAGAGGACCTAAAAGACAGAGACAAAAAGAAAACCCCAGTCCCACCGGTGAGGTCGGTGACGTGCAGGCAGGAGGAGGAAGCAAAGATGAGCTGGGTTAGGAGACCGCTGAATTTTCAGGACCCCTCCCCCCCAGAAGCCATCAGGGTGAGCCTGGCACGTGGCCAGGCAGGCCAGACAGCGTTCTCTGCCCTCTTGGTAGGGTGAGAAAACCGAGGTATAGGCAGGCGCAGGGACTGGGCTAGCCACGTGGCTGGGAAAAAGCGGGGTCCAGATTTGACCCTAGGCCTCCCAATCCGGGGCAAGGCTGCAGTCTCACTGGCTTTCACTCTGCCAGACTGCCCTGTCTAGCCCTGTCTACAGGCCGGGGGCCACCTGCGGCCCAGCTGGCTGCCAGGGAAGGCCCTGAGGGTGGGTGGGGTCCTGGCCTGGGGGTCAGGAGCCCAGGGTCAGCCAGTGACTTGCTGCATGATCACTGGGAGGGCCCTTGCCTGACTTTCCTTCCCGGGGTTCCTCTCCTGTAAAGTGTGTGGGGTTTCACTAGACGTTTTCAGGTCTTTTCCAGCTCTGATGCACCATGATTCTAGGTGAGGGTGGCCAGAGACACCCCAGTCGTGCCACACTGCCTGAAGTTCCACCATTACAGTGGCTCCTTGGGAGCTCTGGAGGCCAGGCCATTGGCTGGGCCAGAGTTCAGGGTCTGGATCATTCTACAGCAAAAACCAGTGACTGGGGTGGGGGACCTGTGTCCCCAGCTCCCGTCCCAAGGCCTCCCTAGGTTTTCTCTGCCTCTGACATAGCTGCTGCAGCCTAAGAAGAAGGGAGGATTGGAGGTTCCCTCTTAGATCTCTGGGCACGGGGCTGATAGTGCATCCCCCCACCCTGTTCCCATTTGCCTCCTTCCAGGCCTCTCCACATCCCACAGCTGCACTGGCTTCCTTGTGTTGAATCTCCCCAACCATGTGCACTAGTCATGCTGTGAGTCTATGGTGCTTTCCCCAAAGGCTCTGTCACCACTGGGAACCAACGAGTTACAATCACAGAACCCCAAAGATGAAAAGAATCAACGGAGCAGGTCTTAAACTGAGAAACTCACTACCTCACGAAATGACTCATTCTGTTCATGTCCCTGACTTGTTCCCTCTAACCTTAATTTCTGCTCAGAGGCCCTAGGAGACCCAAGGTAAACAAAGGGAGGAAAGGACCCAATTGCCCTCAGTGGGCCCAGGTGAGCCCCAGCCAGAGGGTCACAACCCCACACATCTAGAACTGGCTGGCCCCCGAGAAAGAGTTGGAGGCACAAGACTGAGTGCCAGAGATGGGGTTGGACCCTGGGGCACTGTACTCTCCTTGACCTCCTGCTTCTCTTCCTGGATGACTTCAGGAAAGACAGAGGTGAGCACAAGAGGTGCCCAGGGAGGGAGAAGGACAGATGACTCCATTTTCAAAAAAACAAGAGAGAACTAAAGTGGGACTGCATTGATTTCCTTGAAAAAAAAATCTAGAAATTAAAAATTAAATTAAAAAATCAAAGGGATAGTTAGTGAATCTCTTGAAAAGGAAGCAGTGGGCACAGAGAGTCAGCTAAGCTTCAAGCCTTGAGGCAGCTAGAGGGTGGCATAGTGCCTAGAGTACTGGGCCTGGAGTCAGGAAGATGTGAGTTCAAATCTAGCCTCAGACCCATCCTTGCTGTGTGACCTTGGGCAAGTCACATAACCTCTGCTTCAGTTTCCTCATCTGTAAAATGGAGACTGTATTTGCACCTACTTTCCAGGATTGTTGAGATATTTGGAAAGCACCTGGCAAACTTTAGTGTGCTGTGTAAACAACAGCAATAATAATAATTATTATTGCTATATTGACTGAACAGGTTAATATTACCATTGGTCAAGTCATACCGACCTCAGCAGCTTTTTTAGAGGGTTTCTTTTCCAGGGTCCTTCCATAGACATAATTCCTGGGTTAAGGATCATAGATAGGGTTTAGAGCCATTTCAGCTCCTCATTTTACACATGAGGAAACTGAGACTTGGCCAGAGCCCCTCTAAGGCACCTACGGGCTTCTCTCGTGACCACCTCAGGAAGAAAATGGAGAGATGGTGGGCTGGATGGTGGCACCGTGAGCCTGACTCAGAAATGACTGACAGACCAGCTCTGACGAGTAACGGCAGAGGGACTGACATCAATCTGGACGGGGGTCTCCAGCGAGAGCCATGGGGGTCATCTGAGCTCATCTGTGGCTTGTTTTGGTCAGTAGTTTTATCAGTGACTCCAGGGGAGGTGAAGCTGTCCAAAGCACATGTTCAGGACTGGTCAGGCCACGTGTATCTGGAGCACCTCATGTTACGGAATAGCCTAGTGAGTGTCCAGGAGAGGGGACCCCATGGGGGCAGGGGGAGGGATGGGCCCAGGGAAGACCTCAGGGCGGGGTGCCAGACAGGGGGTGAGCCCCCTGTCCCCTTGGACCAGGCAGTTGGAGTGCAGAGCAATGAGGCAGATTCCAGGCAGCAGAAAGCTTCAGAACAAGAAAGAGCTGTCCAGCCAGGGAGACAGTGAGCATCTAGTCACTGGAGGCTCAGCAGAGGCTATCCTTAGGCGGGGGAAGCATTTGTGGGCATGCAGAGGTCAGCTGCGTGGAAGCAGCCTGCAGTGGCGGGGGGCAGGTGGCCATCGGAGAGGGCAGTGAGTGACCTCAAAGTGGGATCACAGCCACACAGGCATCACGTGCCTTTCACCAAACTGCGCCTCATGGTCCCGTGCAGACCCTGGGGTGTCGGCTCCCACTATCCCGCTTAGCTGGGGCACCTCCTAGAGATGCTGGCAGGGCCTCAGCTTGTGAAGGGGCCCCTTTGGAATGGGGCAAGCCTTGGGGCAAGTGGGCAGTGCAGGACCAGGGCCTCTGGGCTCCGCGTCACTCCATGGGAAAAACAGTGGGAGACAGTGATGGAGGAGTCCTTTCTTCTGCTTGCCATGGAATCCCCTTGTCATGTGGGGGTCTCTCTGCAGCGCTGCTCAGAGATCCCAGGAAGGCAGAGAGCATCCGTGGTCTCTCGGGGCACTGGTGGTAGAGCTGAGATTGCATACAGCAGGGACTGCCCACCTATGCCAGCAGCTGCTTTGTGGTGTGGGACCGACTCTCCCGCTGGCTCCCAGGTCTGATGCTTCCGTGTGCGATGAGTTCAAATGAGCTTTGTGATGGGCCCTCCTGTGGGCTCGGGCCACTCCCCATGCCATGGGATAGGACTTCTCTCTCTGCCTCTCTCTCAATCCAGAGCCAAGAGGGTCAGTAGAGGGCATGACCCAACTCTAGGCAGGGCCCTGGGTCAGAGATCCACAAAGGAGATAGACCCTTGTAATGGGAAACCTGAGCAGAACTTGGGGCCTCAATTTCCTCACCTGTAAAGGCAGGGTGCTTGGTTTCACCCGGGATGTCCTCTGTGAGCGCCTCTACTGTGCCCACAATTAGGTCTCCCAATGGAGTTAGCATGGCGATGGGTGCCCACCAAGTCCCCGCCCACCAAGAGGGGGTGGGCAGGGCTTCAGCTCAGCATTCTTGGAAGTTTCTCTGGTTCTGCCATTCAGTGCTCTTGTGATTCCTTGACTGCTTTCAGAAACTGCCAAGTTATGAAAAGAGGTTTTTTGTTCAGGGAAAGACTGAGTTCATTGTGTGGGCTATTTAAAGATCATGTGAAATCAATTTACATGTTTAATTAAATGGCATAATTAGAGTTCAGCAAAAAATGGAACTTCTTTTTAAAATGAACACCCCTCTTTGGGCTTGGGTGGTCGGCCCTTCAGATGGCCGTGGCACATCCATGTCTGCACATACACGTCTGCACATGCATGCTGACACGCGTACATGCCCCTTGAACACAAAGGCGACTGATGGCCGTGGAATTCCCCCTTCTTCTTCCTGGATGCAGATGGCTGAGCATCGCTCTAGACTCTGGACCAGGGGACCCCCTGCTTCTGCCTGGGAGGCCTTACCTGAGGCCTGAAACCTCTCCGCTCCTGTCCTTTCTAAGGGACCATCCACCAAGCAGAGCACGTTGTGGCCCTCCTGCACAAAGGTCGTTTCGACTTTCCCAGCCCCTGGCTCCTCAGTCATCTCTTTGCAGGGCCCAGGCCTCCTAGCCACTCCTCTGATGGTGACCAGACAAAGGCAGCCTAGTCTACCCAGGCTGGGCTCAGGGGCCCTTTGGCTGCCCTGGCCTTTCCCCTTGGTGGGCCTAGATCCATCCCATGCTTCTCACACTGACGAGACTGGAGCCACACTTTCTCCTGGGGTGCTGGGGTCATTGCGCCCATCACTGACCTCACTGGCCACCCTCAGGGGCAGAGCTGCCTCCATTTGGTCAAGCCTCCAGGGCTCAGAGTCTCCCCTTCCCTGGCTCTCCATGCCAGCCTCCTTCTTTTGCCAACCCCCAGTCTGGGTACAGTTCCCACCTGCCTCTTTGACAGCCTCTGGTCCTCTTTACTGGTCATTCCATTCCTCGGGTTCAGGGGCCCAAATGAGCCCCAGAGTAGAGGAGAGGGAGCCCCCTTGAGACTCTGGAAGCAGCTTCTCTGAGGCTACAAGGAAGTCCCATGCCGTTGGCCCCCAGTGCTTCCAGCAGAAAGCTAAGCAGCAGGCCTTCACCTCTGAGCTGACCTGCCTGGCCTCCCTGGCAGGGGGAGGGGACTTCCTGAACCCTGACCAGCAGCTTGGTGTCTCACCTGCCTGGCAGTGCTCTTGCAGGGGACCCCCAGCTTGGGGGTTGGCTTCAGGGAGCCCGGCCTCCTTCAGCAACCTCAGGTGGTCTTGTCTGGAAGAGTTCAGAACCTCTTGCTCAGGCCTCCCAGCCTCTTTCATGGGGCCTGTTCGCTAGGTCCCAGCTGCTGACCACCTTCTTCCACCACGTCCCTTATGGTGCTCAGAAGTGTTCAGAATTCTGACTTGGGTTCTGGGTTCTAGTGGAGACAAGCATCAGTGCCAACAAACATCCACAGTGACCTATCTCCCCAGAGTGTCCCCATAAACTGGGCACTGTGTCAGCTCACTGGCATCAAGTGAGTGCCCCCTTGGCAAACTGAGGAGAAGCCCATCTTGGGGGATGAGGGGGTGACCTTAAACCTTGGAGACTTCAAACAAAGAAAGAGCAAGCAGCTCAACCTGGGCCTCATGGAGACATGTGTCTCATGGCAACATTTTGCCTCCAGGGTGGGCCTGTCCCAGAGCTCAGTCCTGGGGATTGTCTCTGCCCTTTCAATGTCTTATTCTGGCCTCCAGTGTGGGCCCAAGCTCTAGCTCCAGGGACAGGGGTGGAGATTCATGTTCTAGCTTCAGGGACAGGAATTGAGCTCCATGGTCTACCTCCAGGATGAGACCAAGCTCCATGGTTTGGTTCCAAGGATGAGACCAAGCTCCATGTTCTAGCTCCAGTGATGGGGGCCAACCTCCGTGGTCAAGCTCCAGGAATGGAGGTCGAGCTCCATAGTCTATCTCTAGAGGGACCAAGCTCCATGTTCTAGCTCCAGATGGGGGTTGAGCTCCATGGACTATTTCCAGGGATGGGGATGAGCTCCATGGTTTGGCTCCAGGGATGGGGGTCAAGCTCCATGTTCTAGCTC